ACACACACTCTCTCATACTCACACACACACACACACACACACACTCTCACACATACATACATATATATTTATCATTTCATATAAGTAGATATATTAGTAAATTATTCTTGAAAATATTATTAAATATACAAATACATATAGTCTTAAATATGTACAACATAACTAATTATAAATAAATCTACTTTTAAACAGCGTATTGTTTGATAAATAATAATGATATCGTGTTTGCCGAGACTCACCGGTGTGTCCAGCAGTGTCGTGAGCAGCAGCAGGACGGAGGGGTTTGCTGTCATGATGATCTGCAGCACAAACACAAACATCTGCATCTTAACACTGCTTCATCAAGCACACAACAACACAGCAGATGACACTTGTGCTTCAGTGCTGTTCCCAGCTGCTGTGACATTAGTGTGAGACGTCCGTGAGAGCACGCTTGTTTACTCTTGTGTAAACACAGCGGTCAAAGCCCTGATTCACTTCATTAAACCCTCGCTTCCACATTAAACCTTCAGGAGCTGATCAATGCATTCAGGATCAACTCTTCACAAAACAACCTCGCTCATGGCTTTAAGTCTAAAGTTTCATGCATATTAATAAATCTAATATTAATTATATGAAATACATGTAGCATTAAATATATAATACATAACTGATGACATATAATGACTATTATGCTATAAATAATATTATAATTAGTGTTGTTATTATATTAAAATACGTTTTTGTAAAAAAAAATATTATAAATAAAACACATTATTTAATAAAATGTATATATTTCTGTAAAACATAAAATGTATATATGAATCATATAGGTACAGTATGTATATTTTTATGCACATTAATAAACATTATACTAAATACATGTAGCATGCATATAGTACACACACACACACATATATATAAAATAACAAATTATTAATAAATAAAACATTATAATTTAAAAAATGCATGTTTCTGTAATAAACAAAATGTTTATATGAATTATGTATGTTTTTGTATATTTATAGATCTAATATTAATTGTATGTAGCATTAAATATGTAACATATAACAAGCTATTATTACAAATTATTAATTAAATTATTTTCTTCAATAAATAAAATGTATGCCTTTTAAAATCTTATTCATCTTTTGTGTATAATACTAGATTTTATATTAACTAGCCTAATTACATGAATCATTCTATATATTATTACATAACTAGTTTTATATAATAACTCATATTATATATAGATACATATACAACATTATATATACATATGCAAAAATATTTATTTAACAAAATGTAGGTTTTAAATTAAAATTGTTATTGATAATAACAACAACAACAACAATTATATACTATCATTAATTATTAAAAAAAACATTACTGTTTCATAAATAACATCCCTTATTATGTTTTATATAACAGCTATTTAAATTCACACACACCTCAGTGGCCAGCAATGCTTTACAAACAGATGAATCTGCAAGGTTGATGAAATCTGTATTAAACAACATTATTGATATCGTTAGCTGTCACTGTTTGTGTTTGCGATGAAAGAAAGGAAACACTAGAGAGGTTATTATCAGCTGCTTTCTGTAATAACTGTGGGTCACGCTACTAAACTACTCAAACCACAGGACGGAGCGATCAGTGAGTATATCTGTGCACATACACTCTCACACACACACACACACACACACACACACACACTCTCTCTCACACACACACACACACACACACACACACACACACACACACACACACACACACACACACACACACACACACACAGAGTAGTTAGTTAGCTGGTTAATGTGTTTACGTTGAGCTCTGAGAAGCGTTTGGTTTCCTGTGGGTTCACTCTCTGCAGCGTCTCATGTTTGGGAACATTATACAGTCAGCCTTTCCCATGAGTTTCAGGTCAAAGGTCAGCATCATGAGAAACATCCACTGGACAAACATCCCAGATCTTTAATTACCGCCGAGGATGAGGATGTTATTTCTGCATCACACGCATGACATGAACCATACCGCGGTAAAATCACTGTAACACACGATCTCACCACAAATGGGGAGCAATACGATAAAACACATAAACAATTACTTCATTAAATAGTAATACAAAATGGGTTTGGAATCACTTGCATAGCATTACTTTAATATTTAAATATTCAATTTATTTAAATAAAAATAAATAAATCACTGTAACACATGCCTTCACAGCTTTTCATAAATGGAAAAAAGTTATAAAATACATAAAAGTTTAGTATAAAATTACATAGAATAAACGATAACATTCTAAATAAACAACTACTTTATTAAATAATACTACAAAATGTTTAGCCTGATGTTTGTTGAATATAGAAATATTCAACAAAATATGTATATATACTTAAACAGCAATATTTAAATAAATATATTAATTAATTAATGAATTAAATCACTAGCCAATTGCTTTTAGAAATTCAGCGATATGATAAAATACATAACCGTTTAATACAAAATGATAGAAAAC